GCGGCCGAAGCCTACTCTTATCGATTTTAGACCGCCAAGGGATCTTTAACATGCGCAACTTGCACACGGGCCCTCCGAGATTTTTCGCCCTTGTCCGAGAAGGCTAGGTGTAGATCTTTCCTACCAGAAGATCAGGGGTGTGGTAGAAAGACAGCTGTAAGAAGGAGTCAAGGAGTAGCAGTAGAAAGGCTGCAGAAAGAGTCAGGAGCCCAGAGGAGGGGGCAAGGGAGGTGAGGCAGGTGGGGGCAGAAAGAGGAGACGAAAGCAGACGACAGGATATTGCTAGAGAGCAGGAAAGGAGGTGAAAGGAGGTGAAAGGAGGCAATTTTAGAGAAGAAAATTTTTCAGTCGCTACCCGGATTCGAACCCGGGACCTTTGAATGAGAGGCCAACACCTTAACCTCTAGGCCACGAGAGCCCCATGTAAAATTGTTTATGGTTGGTTTAAAAGGACAGAAGGTCATTTTTAAAAATCTGTCTTTAAAAACATTTTATCATTTTCCATTTTCATCTGAATTAAAAAACCAAACTTACATTGAACTCAGTCCCATTTGTATTAAAAACATTTTTTCGTGCTAATGAAAAAACAAAATTATTCCAAGACATTACTTCACAGACAATATTGAAATACCTCCTGTTGATGGTCCGGCCGTGGTATCCAAGGCGTCGTTGTCCAGGTCATCCTCCGCTCCAGCAGAGGGGTCCTGGTGATGAAGACATGTGTCAATTAGGAATATCCTCTTTCATCAATCAAGTTAATTTTTTGTTTCATCAGATAAGAGTTGCATTAAAATTGTTTACAGTTGGTTTAAAAGAACAAAAGGTCGTTTATAAAAATCTGTAAATACATTTTATAATTTTCCTGTTTTACTTGAATTGAAAAACAAAACTTACATTGAACTCAGTCCCATTTGTATTAAAAAATTATTTTTTTAACTATGAAAAAATAAAATTATTCCAAGACATTACTTCACAGACAAATACCTCCTGTTGATGGTCCGGCCGTGGTATCCTTGGCGTCGTTGTCCAGGTCATCCTCCACTCCAGCAGAGGGGTCCTGGTGATGAAAACATGTGTCAATTAGGAAAAACCTCTTTCATACCTCTTTCATCAATAAAGCTTTTTTTTGCTTCGTCAAATAAACAGAACCGTTATAAAATTGTTTACTGGTATGTTTAAAAGGACAGAAGGTTATTAATAAAAATCTGCCACTAAATATATTTTATCATTTTACGGTTTTATCTGATTGAAAAAAACAAGTTTTACATTTAACGCAGTCCCATAGACAGGTATTATTCTAATTTCATTGAAATAATACAAACAAATAATCTTCTAAGACACATTACTTCTCAGACAAATACCTCCTGTCGATGGTCCGTCTTGGTATCCTTTTGGTTGTCCGGGCCATCCTCCGCTCCAGCGGAGGGGCTCTGGTGATGAAGAAATGTGTCAATTAGGAATATCCTCTTTCATTAATAAAGCTTTTTTTTTGTTCCATCAAAAAATAAAGAGCTGTTATAAAATTGTTTACATTTCGTTTAAAAGGACAGAAGGTCATATAAAATAATATTTCGCTAAATACATTTGATCATTTTCCGGTTTAAGCCAAATTAAAAAACAAAACATAAATTGAACTCAGTCTCAGAGGTATTTTTTTTTTTTTCTTTTTTTTTTGAGCTAATGAAAAAATAAAATAATTTCAAGACGTTACTTCACAGACAAATACCTCCTGTTGATGGTCCGGCCGTGGTATCCTTGGCGTCGTTGTCCAGGTCATCCTCCGCTCCAGCAGAGGGGTCCTGGTGATGAAGACATGTGTCAATTAGGAATATCCTCTTTCATCAATCAAGTTAATTTTTTGTTTCATCAGATAAGAGTTGTATTAAAATTGTTTACAGTTGGTTTAAAAGGACAAAAGGTCGTTGATAAAAATCTGTAAATACATTTTATAACTTTCCTGTTTTATTTGAATTAAAAAACAAAACTTACATTGAACTCATTCCCATTTGTATTAAAGAATTATTTTTTTTAACTATAAAAAAAAAAATTATTCCAAGATATTACTTCACAGACAAATACCTCCTGTTGATGGTCCGGCCGTGGTATCATTTGCGTCGTCGTCAAGTCGTCCTCCGAACTGGCAGAGGGGTCCTTGTGATGAAGACTGTGTCAATTTGGAATATGCTCTTTCATTAATCATGATAATTTTATTGTTTCATCATATAAAGAGTTGTTATAAAATTGTTTACATTTGGTTTAAAGGACAGAAGGTCATTTATAAAAATCTGTCGCTAAATACATTTTACCATGTTCCGGTTTTATGTGAATTAAAAAACAAAACTTACATTGAACTCAGTCTTACAGGTATTTTTCTAACTTTATTGAACTAATAAACAAATAATCTTCCAAGACATTACTTCACCGACAAATACCTCTTTTAGATTGTCCTCCGCATCAGCAAGTGGTCCTGGTGATGAAAATCCATGTCGATACAGTGCTGTACCAGCAAACCTCAAGGAGCAATCCAGTATACATGCCACTTCAACAACCTCACTCAAACTCAAGATCAGCAGGAAGCTCTACCCACACCATTCTACCCCAGCCACCCTTCCCGTCCTACCTCCTACCCCCCTAAAAAAACAAAACAACCAAACCTACACTGCCACCTCAACTACCTCCCGCCATGGCCATGGCAACACCTACAAAATTCTACTCTGACTCTAACCTATCCACCTAGCTCCCTATCAAGCTATTTGACTATCTCTACAGCCCCACTGCGTCACTTTAAGTCTGAGTGTGAGAGACGGAAATCGGAGCAGCAGACCACTCGCTGTTGGCTTCTCATGTGGGTGCCGTTTTTCTGAGAAAATACGTTAGAAGTCAAACTAGTTATTAAACTTTTTTTAGTACCAGTAACGAGAAGCTCGTCAATGCAATAATGATTATTAAAAGTAGGAACAAAAAACAAGGGAAAGGAAAAAAGAAGGCCCTGCCACTGGCATCCTCACCCATCGACAATGACAAATAGCAATATATTGGGGTTTTCTTTATAAACTGAGTATGTATTCTATATTGCTATAGAGACAATTTGTAAACGTAATTACCACACACAGATTTTTCAAACATTTTATTGAGCTAAAGAGCAATAACCTTACATTTCTTCAGACAAATACCTCCTGTTGATGGTCGGGCCGTGGTATCCATGGCGTCGTCGTCCAAGTCATCCTCCACCTCAGCAGAGCGGTTCTGGTGATGAAGAAATGTGTCAATTAGGAATATTCTCTTTCATCAATAAAGCTTTTTTTCGTTTCATCAAATAAAAATAGCTGTTGTAAAATTGTTTGTTTGTTTTGTTTGTTTATAGTATAGGGTTTTACGGCGCTCGCAACTGCATAAGGTCATATGAGCGCGCGGGACACACCTAATACTTTTTCGTTGGTAGGAAATTTTGAATTTTGCCCGGGTGGCGGCCGAAGCCTACTCTTATCGATTTTAGACCGCCAAGGGATCTTTAACATGCGCAACTTGCACACGGGCCCTCCGAGATTTTTCGCCCTTGTCCGAGAAGGCTAGGTGTAGATCTTTCCTACCAGAAGATCAGGGGTGTGGTAGAAAGACAGCTGTAAGAAGGAGTCAAGGAGTAGCAGTAGAAAGGCTGCAGAAAGAGTCAGGAGCCCAGAGGAGGGGGCAAGGGAGGTGAGGCAGGTGGGGGCAGAAAGAGGAGACGAAAGCAGACGACAGGATATTGCTAGAGAGCAGGAAAGGAGGTGAAAGGAGGTGAAAGGAGGCAATTTTAGAGAAGAAAATTTTTCAGTCGCTACCCGGATTCGAACCCGGGACCTTTGAATGAGAGGCCAACACCTTAACCTCTAGGCCACGAGAGCCCCATGTAAAATTGTTTATGGTTGGTTTAAAAGGACAGAAGGTCATTTTTAAAAATCTGTCTTTAAAAACATTTTATCATTTTCCATTTTCATCTGAATTAAAAAACCAAACTTACATTGAACTCAGTCCCATTTGTATTAAAAACATTTTTTCGTGCTAATGAAAAAACAAAATTATTCCAAGACATTACTTCACAGACAATATTGAAATACCTCCTGTTGATGGTCCGGCCGTGGTATCCAAGGCGTCGTTGTCCAGGTCATCCTCCGCTCCAGCAGAGGGGTCCTGGTGATGAAGACATGTGTCAATTAGGAATATCCTCTTTCATCAATCAAGTTAATTTTTTGTTTCATCAGATAAGAGTTG